CCACGTTTATGGTTACAGCTTTAGTACAGCTCACAGTGACTGGGCTCCAGTTGTGACCGGAGGGGGAAAAAACACACTGATTCAGGAACAACGGAAAGTTGAAAATTGAGTCTTGCTTCTATGTTTGGAGAGCTTCTAGAAAGCTGTGGTTGCTAGAAATGAGGTAATGGAGGAAAGAGCAAACAAGGGAGGATGAAGAGAGGCTTAAAGGACAATTTTTTTTTCTTTTTAGACTTCTGTTTGACATGGTTCTGCTTTCTTTGCTCTTGTTTGGTATTGGTGGTTTTTCCCACTAAATTAATGTGACATCTGGATTAGAGAGAAGCAAATCCTTAAAAGAAAGTGTTTTAAATGTGAAGTTTAGGGCAAGGCAGTCTAGATCATCACTTGAAACCAGTACAACTCCATTGACATCAAAGAGAGAACACTAATTTACATAAGCTGTGCATCTGACCTTTTGTTCTTGTGAAACTTTAGAATGATTTACAGTGTAATATGTAGTTGTTTTTCAAACCAATTCCATTTTAAATGTTTCTGTGATAAAGATAACTTTGCTTTTAACTGTCATGAAAGTCCAAACTAAAGCAAAGTATAGCATAATCAAAATACATCAAAAATACAGCTCGTTTATTAGGTAAATTCTGACTTATCAAGTGTCCTTGAGTTTCTGAGTTGCCTCTGATCTTGCATCAAAAATTCTCCTTGTGCCTTCTCCAACACTCATTATCACTCATTAAGGGTTGAGATTTAAAAATTAGAAGTAAACGTCAGATTTTTGAAGAGCAGCTCGATTTTCCTCTTAGAAATAATTCTTTTCAGGCATCAAACTCGATTCAAGCTTTGAAAGAGGACAACTGTGAATGGACATCATGGCTACAGACAGACGAGCATGTTTCACATACAGAAACACAGGGAAAAAAATCACTCACTGTTGCACTCAGTTTCTTATGGGATCCTGTCATCCCTGGCAAAGCATCCGTGGCTGTTATTTTGAGCTCTGTCATTTAAGAATAAATCTAATAAGCCTAAAAACAACCAGAAGGACAGCTTTACATTTTTAGTAAAATAGCTTTCACAGAAAGTAAATGTGAGAATGTCTCTATCTCACTGAAAATCCCTAGTTAGAAATTGGAACATGAGTAAGGGGTTAAAAATAAATGGTCAATAACTACTGAACCCAGAAAAGAAGAGAGAAATTCCAGGATATTTCTTTGACTTAAATTACAGCATCCTTAAACGTACCAGAGCTAGCTGCATGCTGAGGAGTGCAGGTTACTTCTACTCTTTCATTTAGGTGTCAGTAGTCATAATGATTTCTTTGTCTAAAAATAAATTCTGACTCGAATCTCCATTTAAGGATGAGATGTATGTCTGGCTCTGTGAAACGATAAAGACATGCAGCTTTGATAACTGACCCCGTTATCATCTACCTCCTGGAGATGGGAGCGGTGTCTTGCCCACCTTTTCCCATGGAATGGGCTTGTTCAGGTAGGCCTCTTGCACGGATAGGTGTGCTCCATGGTCTTTAACATATACTGTGCTATCCTTGCTGCCAGGGGGTGCTGCAAGGCAACTTGACCCAAGCTGGTGTCTGAACATGTAGGGACGGAGTCCCTGAGGAGCACGATCGTCAGCAGTGCCATGGTGGTCAGTGGGGGCACACCATTGCAAGGCACAGGTTAGAATGTTGCAGGTACTCTGTCCCTGCAGGCAGTCAGGCTGTCTGTAGCATGTTTGTACACGGGTGCATGATTACAGAGGATGAAGCCCTAAGACAACCTTTTCTTTAAAAAAAAAAAATATATATATATATTTAAAAAAACCTTGAAATCCATTTCTGTCTATATTAGCCTTGCCATCTGAAACATCCTCATGTGTCTTTTTTTTTTTTTTTTTTTTTTAACTAAAAGTACTATACCCTGCCTCCCCCAAAAGGATGCACTTCAACAAACATGGCTCAGTGTTTGAAACTATATTACTTATTAAGAGTTATATTAATGAGACAGGACAGAATCACTCCCTCTATAAGAAGATTGGGTAGTTTATTTCTTGTCTTGAGCGCCTGTCATAAGTGCTTGAAAAGCTTTTATTTATAGATGGACCTCCATAAGAAATGGAATTTTCTAGGCATGCGTCTTTCTGGTTATGTATTGTGACAATTTGAGTGCTTTCTACATGATTTTTGTTGCTGATTTGATTTTCTGAGATGTGTTTCTATTTGCAGTTGGTGCTACTGTAGTACTTGCAAACATTAATCATGCTTGAATATGGAACAGGAAGGGGAATTATACTGCTGATGAAAATGCCATTAAATACGTAATACTTCTAGAGCCTAGGGGGCTTTTGGAAAAAAAAATAAATAAAATCAAAGATACAGAATAATATTGTATTCTTGAAACCCATCCACAACCTGGGGGTGTGGGGGGAGCAATCTAGGAGGAGTTGAAACTAACTGGATATCTCATTACATTGAGAATGAAAAAGGGTAGAGGCATGAAGTAACTGGTGGCTGGACAACCCAAATACCAAACCTTCATTTAGGGAAGATGAACTATCGTCCATTTCTCAAGCATCTATCTCACAGTAAATAAGCCATGTAAAAGGAACGCTAATTAAAAACTGACTGAGATCTGTTGTAGCGTACTCAGTTTTAAATCGTGTGTTGCTCTTCTGTGGAGGTGATTGTTATTATCTTTCCCACTAAAGATTAAAACTATTCACATTTCAGTGAATTACTCTTTCCCTATCCTCCCCACATACTCAGGATAAATCACAGGACTTCTTTGTAACATGTTCTGCCCATCTTTGGCCTCAGCTGTTGTGGTTCAGCTGACAGGCAAGCCACCTGACAAGGAAGAGCCACTCTTACTGTGGAGTCACTGGTTTAGGACAAGCTGGCTGCATGTTTCTTACTAGAAAAGCTTGTGGACCAGACCATCCTGTTGAAATGGCAACTCATGCCCTGCTGCTTATGCCTTGCTTAACTAAGCAAGGAAATGCTTTCTAAATGGAGTGCTTCTTGTTGTCACCTTCCATAAGCAGAGATCAAATAACTGATGAGCGTTAGCATAGCCCACTTCATTTTGTCACCTGGGATCTCAGCCCCTGCTGCATCTACTGGTGCTTTGCATGCTTGCACCAGGTATTTTTATCTTTCCTCTCATCCCCAGGCTACTACTTCCATCCTCTCAAGAACTTGGATTAAACTTTTCTGTATCCACCCTCTTATCTGTTTTCCACTGCAGCCTACTATGGAATTACAATGTACCTGGTAGTGATTTAAAGAACAGAACCAAGAAGTAGGAAAGGATAACTTCAATACCTACTAAATATCTTTGTATCTTTCCTATATCTTTTCATTTGCATAGAAATCATTTGTACTGTTTATATGGAATCATAAAATAGCTGTGTCTAAGGCATGCTGCAACTGATCCTGTTAATAAGTATTGTGTTGAGGAGGTGGAAAAGAAAACAAGTCCAAACTTCTGGTGACATGACAAATGATGGGATGTGCTGCCCATGCCTCAGATGATGGTGCTCCCCTTCATACAAAGGAGCTCTTCTGGTTCAGTGAGACTAATGTGGGTAAGTCATTTCCACGCCTACCTAAGGGAGACCCACATAGCCCCAGCTTTTTGGTCAAATCCTGATTTTGGTGGGCACACAGATGGCCTCTGCTTAAGGGACCCGTTATATGGGGGAAATTTCTGGTGCCTGGAGGCCAGTTCTCTGATTGTACAGAATTATCGAAGAACCTGTGAAGATGATCAAATATTTTTATGGGACATGCTCAAGTTTTTAAATCATAATAATGAGTAGATGGTAATTCCTAATGGTATATATGGCTGTGATAAAATGGGGTCACTGACAGATTTAGTTGCTAACAGGCTAGCAGCCTTCAATGTGCAACTGCCTCCTGGCTCAGAAGCTTCACAGCAGGGCTCTGATTCAGAGCATTCAGTAAAGATGTACCCTCCCCATCTATATTTCTGGGTGCAGAGTTGCAAGTATCAACCTGCTGTAGATACTGTGAGTCTTTTGGGGAGCAATAGCCCCATGCAGTAGGTTTCAACTTCTTTGAAGGCTTGAATCTCCTTTAATCTGGGCATATTTCAACCTTTCTTGTTGAGAGCTAATAGTGTCCTAATGGCCATATGCTCAACCGAGAATGGATGCAATACCTAACAACAAGCTGCCAGCCTCCATCCCGAATGAGCGTCTCTTATAATTGCCTGCCCTGAAAGCTAGGCACTGATCAGTACCAGCTCCAAGTCGTGTGTGCAGAAGGGTGTGGGCAGTCTCTTATATGTGGATCCTCACCTGCTGTTGGTAAATAGATTTCAAAACCATATTCAGTCTTGGATAAGTATAAAAGTAGAAACAAAGACTGAGGAAGTATAGATAGCCAAGTTTGGTGGCACAAAGGCTCGCAATTTTTAGCCTCAGTTTCAAAGATTTTCGAAGCTGTGAGGAGATGAGCTTTTAACTTTTCCAGAGCATTGCTCATTCTGTTTTGCCCTAATGGGCTGTTTTTGGCATGATGACACTTGGTAAGAAGTGTCTTTAAAATGGTGAGAAGGTAGAAAGCAATAACTGCTTTTACTACCAAAGTAGTGAAAAAAAGTAATTTATAAGATGTATGTGTGTATATGTATGCTTAAAGAAACCTCTTCCTCCCCTGTTAAAAATGTTCTGATGGTGAAAACCAGCATCTGCAATTTCATGTTGAGCTCTGATTTTAAGAAAGTGAGAAGTTCTACATTTTGCTTGAGAGGGGAAAGAAGAAAATCACTTTTTTGGGATGTTCCAAGCTAGTCCCAAGGGCTGTATCTTGCATATAAATGGACATAACATTCATTTTCATTTTTCCTGCTCTTCGTTGATAGGTATTTTCTACATGTTTTACATGATACACTTGTCTCAAATGTCACTCAAGATATTTTCTCATTTATAACTGTTTTCTGCAGCTCCTTCAGTAATTCCAGTCTATTGCCTTTTAGCACTTATTGCCTACTGGCAGATGCAACATATTCAGGTCACACGAGTTTATTCAGCACGGAGATGACTTTTGAGTGAGAATGCTCAAGTGAGTAGCTCAATTTTAACTCAAACTGCTGGCAACAGTAGAAAATAATCTTCTCAGTGAAGAATGTTTTATTTCTTTGCTACTAAAATCTTAATTTCTAATTTTAAATGAACTCTATGACCAAAATAATTTACCACTGTTATATGGCTAAACTTAAAATATGTTTTTTTTATGTTCGGCTTTCAGGTCACATATTTCTTGTGCTGCGTTAATTACATGGTAGCACTTCATATGCTTTTTTATTTATTTACAGGAATTAGAACCAGGGAACTTCTGTGGATTTCTTCTACCAGAATATGGACATACAGACCCTGGTAGCTGATGTAATGACAGGCTGAACTTAGCTAATTTATGGAAGCGGTGTTATGGATGGTTCCAGGAAAGATGTTGCCTTTTGGTATGATTGTTTTTCTTTTCTTGCCTGGGAGAGTCTCCAAGTGAACTGTTGATAATGTAACTGCTGAGATGTGGTGCTGCTCAGTTTTCCCTGCAGGGAGATATGAACCTTGTTTGCTGTATGGTGGGGAAAACTCTCAAACTCTGGGAAGCTGCTGCAGCAAAATCCTCCTTCCTTATGTCAGAGGAATCCCCATTAGATATATAAAAATGGGAGGTATGAACCTCGCGTACTCTATCCCCACTTCTGGAGCTAACGTCTTTTCTCTTCTTCTTATGTGTGTGATGTGTGCTTTGTCTTTTCTTTAAGTAGACAACGTACTTATGGATTTCTCCCCAAGATTTCTTTTAGTTCAGTAATCCTACTAAACAGTAGCTATTTCCATCAGCCCTTGAAATAAACAACCAAGATATAATTGGAGGTGGTAGCATTCAGTGTTGAACTGCCTAATGCTTTTCAACACAAGTTTTTCAGTTGCTGTTTTGCAACCCAACAGTGTCTGTTTCAGTTCAAGCTGCTATGCCAGATAGGATTTCCCCTACCTTTTTTAGCCTTTCCTGCTAAATGGGAAAACATCTTGCTAAAAACAAAGCTAGAATAGGTGTGCTTTCACTTGCTTGAAAACTTCATGGAGCTCTTGCATTACTTTGTCCATTGTGTTTTGTAGGGAGGTGTTGTATTGGCAAGGGATTCTGTGATGAATCAGTAAAGGGTCTTTGCCCATCTGTGAGATTACATACAAATGTGGAACTCATGTCTACCTAGGTGCCTTAGAGGTATGGTTCTTGTAACTATAAGACTTCCATGAGGAAGCATACTTGGGGGGGGGGGGGTAGGGGAAGGTATTTTTAGAGTTTTTTACAGTGCATTTTTCCTTTATGTGAAGTTCTTGTCAGGTTCAATGAGTTTTAGAGTAATGATCAGTGAAGAAATAGGTGAAAGATGTCAATTAGGAAGTTTTGGCACTACAGGGTTTCATAGGTGTAGTGTTGGACCAGGACTGAAGTGAGAGCCTTGTGTAACATAACCCTAGTAAGTAAGGCCAGGAGACAGAAAAGGGAGAGAAGGAGATCTTACTTGAATCCTAGCTTCAATACTTCCAGTTCCTCACTCTGGTCTCTGAGACTACAAGGTCTAAACAAAAGTCTTTGTCATGCCACATAGCATAACCTTAGCATTGCTAATGTCAGTCTCCTTCCATTAAAATGTCTCAGCTTCCCCCCACCCTGCCTCAAATCCCTTTAAAAATAAATAAATAAATAAATAAAATCCCTGAAAACCAGCTTTACCTTGTGGTTTTTGCAACATGTGCACTGAAGTAGTGTGTTCTTTTTCTGCAAGAGCTGGGGTTTGACTCCTAGAAGCGGATTTGATTTTTTTTTAATAGGAGTAATGCTATGTCCAGGTGTCCTAAATTTATGTATACAAATAAATATCCTAATAATTCAAGTAATAATATAATTCATAATAGTTTGCCTTATTCTGAACTTCAGACTAAATTCACCAAAGGGTTTTCTTCAAGCTTGTTCCCTAGACTCACTTCTTTTCTTTGATGTGGTGATTACCAGTGCATTCACCCAAATGACTTGAAAGAGCTAGTAAAATGCAAAGGAGGACTACAATAACATTATCAACATAACGTCATACTGAACCACATGAACTCACGGTTGAATCTGGTGCAGCTCCAGAGGTCTGGCAAACTGTGTTCTGTCCAATCAAGGAAACAGTTGTTTAAAAGCAACCTAACACCTGTAGCTTTCTCCCCACAGAAAGAATAGAGAAAAATTATTCCAGTATCTCCTTTTTATAATGTCTTGAGTGCAACATGTAAATAATACTTTTTTTTTTTTTTTTTTCTCTCTTAAAGAAAATCTGTAAGGAAGGACTGTTAATCATGTTTGATTGTGACTGGGCAGGTCCCCAGGACATGGCACACTTTGAGCTATCTCTGTAATGCAGGTGTTGCTGGAGTAGCTCAGGCACAGCCTGTCTAACATCTTGTCCTGGTTTCAGTTAGCACAGAATTAATTTTCTTCCTAGTAGCTGGTGGAATGCTGTGTTTTGGCTTAGGATGAGAAGAGTGCTGATAACACCCCGATGTTTTAATTGTTGCAGAGCAGTGCTTATACTAAGCCAAGGACATCTCAGCCTTTTGCTCTGTCCTGCCAACGGGCAGGCTGGGGGTGCAGTAAGAGCTGGGAGGGGAAAGACCCAGGACAGGTGACCCAAACTAGCCAAAGGGGTATTCCATACCATCTGACGTCATGCTAAACAATATATAGGGGTGGCTAGCCGGGGGGGAGGGGGCCGGACTGCTCGGGGTTAGGCTGGGCATTGGTCAGCGGGTGGTGAGCAATTGCATTGTGCATCACTTGTTTGTACATACTATTACTTTCGTATTATCACCATTGTATCATTATTATTATTATTGTTATTATTATTTTGTTATTATTATTTTCCTGTCTTATTAAACTGTCTTTATCTCAACTCACGGGCTTCACTCTCCATTTCTCTCCCCCGTCCCAGAGAGGGAGGGGGGAGGGTGAGCGAACGGCTGCGTGGTGTTTAGCTGCCAGCCGGGTTAAACCACGACACATCTTCTGGAGCTGAAATGCCAACTTGTGGAGGTCACTGTCAGAGTTTAAAGTTCTTTATGAAAAATACAATAGTTCTGTGATGAAAATAATGTAGTACTTAAAAAGACTCAGAACATATCCCACTCCTGCACTGTAAAATACAATTTATACTATCTTAAAATAATCTGCTAGAAAGGGACTTTAATTTTTGTCTTTTATAACTGTCAGTATATAGCAGTGTAAACCCAAACTGAAAGGAAAGGGGAGCATACACATAATTCATGGAAGTACATTAATTTAATTTATTTTTTTCCAAGGTCAGCATAACATTGAGCACAAGTAAAATTTTTCAAGAGTAAGTTATGGATTTTCTGGAACACTTGTGGAAAAACTTTTTCTTCTTGTGGTAAGAGTTTTGATGCTAAACTGTGTCCAAAAGTCAGATGCACCCCTTGTCTCAGCTTGGTGCCTGGCAATTGCTGTGAAATAAGTTTGAATAACAAATGCCTGTCCTAATTTATTAGGCAGGTCTTGTTCATATGATAGGTTTTCATTATTCCTTGTATTATGACTTTTATGGCAATTATGACCATAATAATGGCAATAGCCATAATATACATTAATATATAATTATGGCAAAAATAGCAAAGAAATCAGAACTGAAGGAGTTTGAAAATGTTGAATACCCCCTGCAGAAGTAACCTGTTGAAAGGAATTTATGGTTTCTCCCTTCTTGCAATTCTTCCTTCTATAAAATAACTTCTATTTTGGTCTTTCAGGAGACTCAATGAATTTCAGGTTGTACATAGGGAGTAACAAAATAAGTCATCTCTTTCTCTCTCTGAGAACAAGGTAACTTTAACTGCTGCTAAGATAAAGTTACAGCTGCACTTCAACGGTGAAAAGTAAATAAGTTGTTTTTATCTCTCTAAAAACTGCAGGGTTGTGGTGGCTTTTTCTTCTCTTCTTTGTAACATCCCATTTCATTTATTTTAGAGTTCTTTTTAAGTAGAAACCCTGAAGAACAGCCAAGTTGGCTTCAATAGTGAATGATGACTACAGATAACTGGGTTATGATCTTGGCTGAGAGAAACTGGAAACAGTACTAACATCTTATGACTACCTACTGTTTGGCTTTTGAGAGGCTTAAGCAAAAAAACATCTTTATTTTGAATGCAAGCAGTGAATAAGAAGGAAATGTAGTTTAAATAAATACTACAAGCCATTCTTAAGCAAGAATATAAAACTAAAGCCATTAATACAAAACGTAAAGCACCCTCTGCTTTTGCAGTATTAATAGTAAATAACTCAGGAATTAATATATTAAGAAGTTGTATTTTCATAAACATCTGGTAGTCAAAATGAAAGCAATAGACAAATTTGTTGCAAATATCTCCCTATAATTCCAGAATTGTGCATTTTTTCTTATACTATTACTAACGTTCTAGTGAACTACCTAAGATGAGAATAAGGATAAACTTTCAAGCCCTTTTTATGTATCATCAAAGATACCTGAAAGGTCATAGCATTACTGGGCAGCCAAGGCTCTGCAAGAGGGAGCACGAGCTATTCTCTAGGTCTGCCCTCAGCAATCCCAGCTGGATCTGGCAAGAGAAGATGGACTAACTTGGACCCTGGGATGTTACTAGGAAAGTATAAAACTATGCAACATCACTGGTACATTCCTATTGCTTTGGGACTGCACAGATGTGTCATGTTCCTAGTGTAGATCCATAATGAGGATAAAAATGATAACAGCTACTTGATCTCTGTATATTTCTACAAGGTATGCTGACAGTGGCTGTGCTTTTCCAAAAGAGAACTTAGAAACATCTTCCCTCCCCCCAGGCAGTATTACAGTTTCTGTAAAAAGAGGAGGGCATGATACAAAGAGGCTTTGGATTATAGGAAACCTGGATGGATGCCTTAGTGTATGGATCTGTATCACTGTTCCATCATAAGGTGCTTCCAATCAGTGTATCATCCTACTCGCTGCTGTTTCATTGGTTAACTCCACCAGTCAAAACTTTGCACATTCCTTTGTTAGGTGCTCTCTGGATTTCCCCTGAGCATTGTGATTAAGCCTTGCTTTCTCACCCTGCCTGCCAAAATAGTCCTGCATGCTCTAGCTCATCTCCCATCTGCTCTTTCCCCTCACCATCTGCTGAATAGCAGGATCTCTTCCTTGATCCTCACTCTCAGTTTTGTAGCAGTACGTGTGCCCCCATGGGTTCACGAGCTGGAGAAAGAAACACCCACACTGTGCACCTCCTTGAACCGAGTAAGATAAAATATCCATGGTAAATGGACAGCTAAGCATTCAAGCCCATATTTGACTCCAGATAGTTATTGTGACAAATAGTTTCAAGTATGTTGTGAAGTTGGTGTTGAGTGACTGTATACAAAGTGCCTCTTCTCTGCCATAATCATTGTGTGTGTGTGATACAAGCATTATTATATGTTCCAGTATTCTAGATCACATGAAAGACACTGAACTGTGCCTTCCTCAGAGTGGCTGAGGTTGGAAGATACTTCTGGAGGCCACCTAGTCCAACCCACTGCTCAGGGCAGGATCACTAGAGCAGGTTCTTCATAGCCATGTCAAGTTACTATTCAGATCTCTCTGCAGATAAAGACTGCGCAATTTCTTTGGGCAACCTGCTCCAGCATTTGAGCACCCCAACAGCTAAAAAAATAAAAAATTTTTTAAAAAGTGATGTTTAAATGGAACTCTATTCAATTTGTGCCTTTTGCCCTTTCACTGGATGCTGCTGAGAAGAGTCTGGCTTTGTCGTCTTTGCTCACTCCCACTAAGCATTTATGCACATCATTAAGATCCACTGAGACTGTTCTTCAGACCAAATTATCCAAAATGGCAGATGCGTCAAGACTTTAACTGTCTTAGTGGCCCATCTTGTTGGTCTCAAGTCAGTATACCCCGTTTCTTGCTTATGCTCGGGAGTCCAGCACTGGACACAATGCTCCCAGTGTTCTTGACTAGTGCTGAGGGGAAGGATCACCTCCCTAAACCTGCTGGCAACGGTCTTTCTAATGCAGTCCAGAAGGATGTTGGCCTCCTTGCCACAAAGGCACATTGATGGCTTATGGTCAGCTTAGTGTCCACTGGGACCAGTAGGGCCTCTTCTGTCATCTGACCCCTAGCCTGTGCTGTTGTAGTCATTCCTCCCCAGGTTCAGGACTTCACCCTTCTCTTTGAATGCCATGAGGTTCCTGTCAGCCTATTTCATTGTTCTGCAGAGGTAGCACAAAAATTGGGTGTATCAACCATTCATTGGCAGTCCTGATGAGCGTTTACTCTGTCACATCATCCAGGTTATGAATGAAGATGATCAGTATTAGCCCTTGGGGCTCACCAACTGTGACCAGTCTCTGGCTTGACTTACCTTTGAGTCTAACTGTTCAGTTAATTCTCAGTCCACACTATCTGTTTATCCAGCCAATATTTACTTTTTTTGATGAGGATGTTTTGGATATACTTCAGAAGCCTTTCTTAAAGGTTAGGGCACTGGACTGTGAAGTGGGATGGCCGAGGAGTGGAAGATGCAGCTCTGCTGTGGGTTTGGTGGAAAGGCAGGGCAAGTGGTGATGCTGGGGATGCTCTGTTTTGGCTCTGGCAGTTGGACCCTAGGGGAAATAAAATCTGCACCTTGTGAAACATGGTCACACTGAGTATTTTCTTCCTAAT